TTGGCCCCGAGTTTGAGGCTTTTAGGAGTAGGCTCTGATCATTTTGGTGAGTCGTTGAGAGAGCAACATTTCCACCTTGATCTCCAACATTGTTAGAAAGACAATCAGGTTCGAGTGACCGATCTGTATAGAGGTTTTCTGAGCTTAAACTCGAAAGTTTGCTCCAGATGTGATGAGCTGCCCTTGGCCCTGCCAAATCTACGTCTGCTGCAAACCGAGGAAATCCCTCAGCTATTAGATCTGAGCTTAAGTTCAAACCAAGTAGATAGAGCCCTTTAGGTCCAGATCTCATCGAAGTCTCGGACGCCTGCTTCTCTGAGCACAGAGGCTGCCTGATAATATGTTTTTCACATATTTTTTGAGAAGGGATAGATCCCGGCAAAATAAGGTGACCACATGTCAGATGCTCCGCCACATTACTAAATGAGTCGGCACTTGCTGACTTGCTTTGAAAGGTACAGTGTTGGCTACTCGGACCATTGACTTCCAAACGTGCATGCAGGCCGCAATTAGCTAGATGTGCGGAGCTACAGGGCCAGACAGACTGCGAGAGAGATGCAGATGCGACGGGTGTTTTCGGACGGACTGCTTTGCTAGTATTAATACCAAAGGATGCAAAATGTTGAATGGTTGTTAATCGTTCCTTAAGTGTCGTGCTAGGTCGGTTAGCAGATTTGGTGACACCAAAAACGAGATCAAGCTGATTATAAATAAGGGAAAATAAATAATCTATGTTGTAAAAAGTAAATGTGTTTTAAGATCGTTATAATGCAAACTTCAGGGCCACATGGGGCTAAAATAGCTATAACCAAATACACATAATGTTTTACCAACGAACAAACTTAATTCAAATAATTTTAAAGGGTCTGAAGCTTTTATTAGAAAAAAAGATCATGTCTTATAAAAGTAAACCATCAAATAGGCTTCCAAATACGGATTAAGGGATTATGTATATTAAATTAAAAATTATCATTTATAATAATTCATATAGGTTAGTGATAGAAGCTATATATCTTATTTAAGCTTAGAAACTGCATCATGGCAAGTGGCTTACTAGATTATTAGATATATATATAGAGAGAGAGACCTTGTGGAATGTACCAAGTTTTGCATCCTCTGTCATAATATTCCTGATGACTTCCAGCATCGGACCGTTAAATTTGTATATTAAAAGGCGCTATGCCAGCATCCTCAGTGATTCTTGCAACTACTAACATCAAGCTACAACGCGTCAGACAAATGAAGTCAATCCTTTCATCAACTTTCTGCATAAGGGTTATGGTAACCCTACCCTCAGAATAAATGAAATTAGTTCAGATTGCAACTATACTTAGGGTCATATCATCTTGGTCTTCATATCTTTGATTAAACTACGGTAGTAATATTGCCAGAAAATGCACTGAACACAGCTGAACAAAGAAGATAATTGTAAGTCAATCTTGCCGTCTGACCTTTTTAAACTGTTGTAAACATTATGGTATCATTCCTGAATTCTGTAACCTTAAGAGACACTATCATTGGGGTAAGGTTAATGAGTTTCTCCATCAGGCCTCTATCTAGCATGGAGAGGTATAAACTAGTTAAGTTTATAGATATTAAGTCAAAGCTCCGATGTGATCTGACCAGGATCTTGACTCTAGAAGAGTTTCAAAAGCTCCAGAGCATGACCGACAGGAAATCACGTAGGATTTCTGATTTCATAATAAAACAACACGACAACAAATCGCATGAGTTTGGGATTATAAGACAGCGTAAGTTAAATCTAAAGCACCCAGTCGAAGTGGTTTCCGAGGTAATAACACTTACTGATCAGCACGACGATAGGGAGAAAGTATTAAATTTATCATCACTTACTCTTGATCCCGGAACCTCCACGACCCTAAAGAAAGGGCTCAACTTTTCACTTTAAAATGAAAGAAGCCTTCTAGAAGTGGAGGTTATCAATATCTCCGATAAATTCCCTGAGGAGAAAAAAACAGAAAATGGAGATGGAACTAATTCCAAGGATCTTGACACATCAAGAACCAACATACAGGAACATATTTGCCAGGATATGCAAGACCCCAGAAAAGAATGAACAATTGGTCCTTCAGGGAGATAAAGGAGGAGTGACAGTGATAGCGGACAAAAAACAATATGCCAACAAGGTAGAATAGATACTGCGAGACAGGACTAGGTATCGTAGACCACAAAAGGATCCAACTATGTAAATCAATGGAATTCATGCGACATATTAAAAAATGGGCATAGGAACGGGGAAATTTATGTATGGACAAAAATTTAATCATGAGAAAGGATGCACGACAACCAACTGTCTACGGATTACCGAAGATACACAAAGAAGGCGAACCACTAGGGCTGATAGACAATAACAAGTATGGAACAACATGCAAATTGGCAATTTATATGTTTAAAAATCAAGAAATTAAATGACAAGTTATCAAACACAGCGAAACATACAAATGAATTTCCTCAAAGAATCAAAAACAAGACACTGGAAGAAATAGACTTATTGGTAAGTTTTTATGTATAATGCATGTATACAAACATATCTGAAGACATGGCAATAATGACCCTGCTGGAAATCTTAGACCGAAGAGGATATAATCGAAGCAGAGTATCAGAAGAAAGTCGTTAACACGACTAATCAACTTGACGATAAGGACAACCTAGTTCACATTCAATAGCAAAATCTATTAATAAACATTTGGAGGTTATCAATATCTCCGACAAATTCCCTGAGAAGACACTGCGATCACTGCTCTCACCTTTATTGGCAAATGTATTTATGAACAAATTAGAAGAATATTTAAAGATTTCACCGCTGCAATCAAGAGTTCTTATGCGGTACCTGGATAACTACCTTGCAATTTGGTTGCATAAAAGAAAAAAATTGGAAAATTTTCTGAAGCTTATAAACAGGATTGATGGATGTAGCGGAAGGGGGAGGTTAGCTTACCTAAATGTGAAATTCATTCGCTCTAATAGAACACTCAAGAGGAAATCATTCAGAAAGAAGTCATATGCCGGTATAATACTCAACTTCCAGTCCCATCGCAATTGCAAGCCAAAGATAGGTATAATGAGAAGCAGTTGTCCAAGCAAGGTAATACAAAGAAAAATACGGGCCATAAAAATTCGATGGCAGAACGGGGACTATGAAAGAACGGTAAAGACAAAGAAGAATTCACAAAAGTGGATATTCCTACCATCCTGCGAACTAACTCAAAAACTACAACTAATACTAAGGAAATGGAATATTCAGGTGACGACGAGGAAAAAAAAATTTCACAAGCCTAGCCACGCAACATAAGAGGATGAACAAATAGGATTACTCGGGATTTTACTGCATAGCATGAGGCACCTGCAAAAGAAAATATATTGGCGGAAGAGAGAAAAATAAGCATACGAATCAAGGAACATGAAAGGCTCTGCAAGAAAATTGATATCGAAATATCGGAAATAGCGGAACGCATCGCACAGGCTGGACTTGAGATAAATTAAAAGCAACCGAAAGAAGGGCCTTATACGGTGAAAACACAAGAAAACGGAAGATTAAGAAGGCTATTGATATACTTGGGAAAAAATATA